ATATATTAGTAACTATTATACTCGTAAATGTAAGAGACATCCAAACGAAATTAGAAGTACTACAGTAAGGATAAAAAGAAATGGGGTAGTGAGGAGGTACTATGGTATGAGCATTGCTTTATTGTAAAAAAACATATCCATAACAAATAGAGCATATTTACAGCTTACTATATTTATTTACAGCTACACATAACAAATAACGCCGTACGTGCTATAATATCATAGTATAATATACTCATACTATTATATGTCTATTTACATAAAATAAGACTTCGAAAATTACACGTAGTATTATGAAAATATTGTAAGCAAAATACTTTGACATAAACATTATTGCTAAATGATTATTTTTAAGCTATTGCATAGCTTTTATCGCGGGTTTTGAGCGCGGTGACCGAATCAAGAAATTCCGTAACGAAAATAAAATCTAACACCTCCCACTCCGCCTACCATGTACCTCGCGTTCAACACTTTCACACGTTGCGCTTGTGTAGTGTTTGTGAATAAGCGCGCGGCGTGACGTCGCACTGCATGCGCATCATGAAAAGTGCCCATCTCTCTCTCTGGGGGCAGTTAATGTTTAGCTTTTGTTAATGTTTATAAATATAGCGTGGTCTTATTTTATTATTGTTTTAATATAAAATTATTATTGTCTACTTATAACTGCATAAGTTGTTAAAAAATGATATGCAATAGCTTTACCGCGGCAGTCCCCGAGTGCCACACGTGTTTTTTTTATTATATTGACGTCAGATTAGTGGTTTACGTTCAGCTCCGGGATTGCTTTCCTTTCAGATTGCTTGAAGCCTTAGTCAATCATTAAGAATCCGAAATGGAATTTCTTCCCCGAAAGACACAGACTTCGATCGACAATTAAACGTAGACTCTGGTAGCGTATTCAGAACTACATACTAACTAACAGACCAACAAGGCGATCGTAAATTAGAGATAAACCTAAACTAAATAAATTGAGACCACTGTTCTAGTAAATTGCAGTGAGACTCGTTATTTTTCTGCTCTGAAGAATCGCAGGAGTCTAGTCCTTATTTTTGTAGTCAGTACTCGACGTCCACTCAAGGCGCGTCGGTCCACATTTTTCAAGCTAGCATCCTCGTAGCCTGTGTCAAGTTAGTTTTTTGCTTAATTTGGTATTTGTAAAATTATCCGTAAATTGCTTAATTAGTTGAAAAGCAGAAAATCAGTTGGCGTCCGATTGAGTTATTTTAGTTTATTGTCAGCTATATTTGGAAATTTTTATTTCTGTTATTTGAACGTAATTCGGTGCATTTCACAACAATAAAACCAGAATCTGCCGGATCTGTGTATGTTACACCAAAAAATTCAAAAGACAAAGAGAATGAGAGGACCTTATGAAATTAACTTTTCATTTTCTTCAATTCGTAGTTAATTGTGAGCGAGGAAACGTAGCTGAAGCAGCTCTTTAATAAGAACCTTAAGAACTTGGTTACATCGCAATCTGGCAACTTAATAAGTCATAAAGAATTGAGATTACAAATATTTTTCGGTAAAAGCGGGTGAGTCAGATAAATCAAAATGTTCTTGTTTAGTAAATGTGATATTATGCTCGAAAAATGTCGGTTATGATGAAAAAGGCTTTTTTTATTTGTTTCATTTAATTACAGTTGAAAAATGTTATAGAAAACAAAAGTACTGTTCGCTTTTGTGAATATCATCCAATAAGCGTCATATACTTTATTTATTTACAAATTTGATTCGACGTATAAATTGCAAATAATCATTTTAAGTCGTCGTGGCCTAAAGGATAAGACGTCCGGTGCATTCTTGCTGAGCGATGCACCGGTGTTCGAATCTCAGGCGGGTACCAATTTTTCTAATGAAATACGTACTGAACAAATGTTCACGATTGATTTCCACGGTGAAGGAATAACATCGTGTAATAAAAACGAAACCCGCAAAATTATAATTTGCGTAATTACTGGTGGTAGGACCTCTTGTGAGTTCGCGCGGGTGGATACCACCACCCTGCCCATTTCTGCCGTGAAGCAGTAATGCGTTTCGGTTTGAAGGGTGGGGCAGCCGTTGTAACTATACTTGAGACCTTAGAACTTATATCTCAAGGTGGGTGCCGCATTTACGTTGTGGATGTCTATGGGCTCCAGTAACCACTTAACAACAGGTGAGCTGTGAGCTCGTCCAACCATCTAAGCAATAAAAAAAAATAAAAAAAAGTCATGTCGATCCTTTGCTGCATACCTGAAGTTATTTAGACATGACTTAAGTTACTTTAGACACCGCTAATGAATGCCAACAGTTGTTCTGAACAAGACATGAGGTCGAAATCATAATTATATTCTTAAAAAAAAAGGTAGCGATAATGAAAAATTGGTAATTACTTTGGTAATACATAATACATCTTTGAAGTAGAGTGCCTAAAATTAGTATTACGCAACTACCCCGTAGCACCAGCTAATTTGTTTTGCTTGTGAATTTTCCACCTGCGGTCGTTCGGACGGCTCACCCCTCCTGGGAAAACGACCCCGGCGAATATTGCAAACCGGCTGTTATGTTACCCGAGTGGAATTTCCACATGTCCCGAGGCTTGAATAACAAAGAGTCGAGAATTTGAGATAGACGGTAAAGGCGAAGTGATGCGCGGTGGTTTATGTAATGTTTAGATACTGAATTCGAATGATAGCCGAGTTATTCGATTTAACGCGAGCTCATTTAGTTTCAGTCTTTCAGCTGAAAATGATTTTGACGACTTAATTTTGTGTTCGCTTCGCTCTTATGTATGCTCAATACTCAATACCTACTCCGTATGTACTCGAATCAAACGTTGTACTTTAGCCCTCTCTCTCGCCGGATCTTCTCAGCGGGTCGCGATTCCGATCCGGTAGTAGACTCAATCGCGAAGCCGTTACTCTTGAGTTGTTAGGTCTCATTTGGAGGCGCTCAGGTAGCTGTTAGCAAATCCCACCCTTCCTGGTTGAGACCTCGCTCGCCCACCTGTCCTGGTAAAACTGGAAAGGCATCCGGGCCAACGCCAATCTCAGACATAAAAAAAAACTTTAAGATTATGCCGACGTTTGAATCGTGGAACCAGAAATATTTAAGGCGATTACCCTTAAACTGGGTAACAGAAAAAATGAACAATATTGTCTAATAAACAACCGTCTAATTTATTAATTTACATAATTGACTGATTTAATTATCCTGCCCATTTCTATCGTGAAGCAGTCATGCGTTCCGGTTTGAAGGGTGGGACAGCACAAACTGTACAATTGAGACTTCAAAATCATGTCTCAAGGCAGGTGGCGGCACTTCCGTAGTCACTGTCGACGTAACGGATGTACTGCGAAAGACCCGGTCGGCGGCGTATCTATCGCCTTTTGAGTTCCGACCCGGCAGGCTGGTTCTGACCTAGCAAAGTATTCCGAAAGACTAGTGGTATGACAGCGGCTGTCGTACCGCGGAGATTGGGGTCGTTGGCTGTCGACAATCGCCTCGACGACCCGTCAGGCGTCCTCGGGGTGGAGCCGCGAGCCTGGTTGTAGTGTTAACGGCAGAAACCCTCTACTCTGATCGGGTTCTGACCTCGGGCTGAGATCGGACGGCGAGTGAGAGAGTGCAGGGGAGTCTTTTAGTGCGGTAGGGATTTAAAAATACCCTTGGACCCGCGGTCTGCTCCCAACATCTGCAGATTGTTAAGTTCCACATACCTCACGTGCCCACTAGGCCCGGACACCGCGAAGAAGCTAACCTAGTCTGAAAAAAAAAAAAGTTGCCATATTTAATTGTGACGTCACGGACTCTTTCAGCCCCACAACTCTAAGCTGGAGTGAGTTCGTTAACCCGTCTATGCATAATGAAACAGTTAGGTAAACTATAAAAAATGCATATTTAAGTCATGCATTCCCTTGTCTACGTTTTGTTATAGAAAACAATTACAATGCTGATTTCATTAAAAGGAATATTTGAAATGCAATTAAGCTGCCTATATACATATTAAGCAAAGCGTCATCGCATCGAAAAGTAGCTGATGCGTTATTGCAATTTAAGGAAACAGATCTAAACCAACGTTCATATCGATATATTAATACGTGAAGCAAAATCTTTGTATCCCTTTTTACGAAAATTGCGCGGACGGAGGAGTATGAAATTTTACACACTTATAGAGAATATAGAGAAGAAGTGCACAATGCTAATATTTTTTTAAAATAATGCATAAAAGATACATTAAATCAGTAAAGAAAACATTACACACACTACATAGGTACCGTGTATTTGACGCACACACGCATGCATACTATTTATTGTCAAACTTTAGTTCTTGACGTCTGTGGTCAAATTGAGAATAGATTAAATATTGTTTGTCTTTATAAATAATTTTTTATACTGTAGCCTGGGCGAAATTTGTGATTATAGAGGTATAAAATACAATCATAATAGTGTTCAAACTTACAATTCCAATTAGTTATAGTCGAATTTCGACTACTGCGGGACCTCTAGTTAAACAAATTTATAAAACAAAATTTCGTTTGTCAATAAAATCATCATTCGGACGTCTGTTAATTCGAATTTATCTATTTCGGTGCTCTCACAGTCTTGCGGTCAACGTGTTGTTTATGGCTATTATAAACAGAAGCACGAGGCGTTACGTTAGGGCTCGCGTCAGTCCCTTCCTGGCCTCGCGTCAGTCGAATAAATAATAACGATGGGGTGCAGGACATTGTCCTTCCGTGCTATGCCTACACACAACAAATCAGATTGTCCACAACCGTTGCACACAGTGGTAGCTGACTTGTATTTAAACATGAAAGCTCATTTCCATTCGTCACTTTGCGTTGCCGCCTCCGTAATTACGCCTTTATCTATTTTTCATATCGTTTGTCGAGTTATCGAGTTTTCCGGTCAACGACTGCAGCAAGCCTTAACGTATCAGTATAGGCCATAATTTTCTACTTAATGGAACAAGCACGAACCAAGATACATTAAATAATACGGTTAATCGCTTCCAGGTTTCGGAGTTAACCGCAACAGTTCCGGTTTCACATCGCAATAAGTTTAACATCTAGTTACTGTCGAGAACTTAATAAGCGAAGTGCGTGCCAATACACTCAGCGGATTAACATTTGAGTGTTTCAACGGATTGTGTTTTGTGTGACTTCAAAACAAATTTAATATACCTCCGGTATACACCGGAGGCGGGAGGAAGTCATCAAAATAGCCAAAGTGTCTCCTATAAAGTTGTCAGCGATGGACAGCAACTCGGTGTCGCCGATGCCGGAGCTGGCGCCCATAGCGGAGTTCGACAAGTCGCCTCCTTCGCCTCCCAACGAGGAGGTGCCCATGGACGACTTGCCACCCCCACCCGCCACTATCTCGCAGGCCGAAGGCAAGAAGATCAAAGTGTGAGTATCTCAACTATAATCTAATTTATGGCAGTTTTACTTGACTTTCACGTTTAATTTGTTAGGAACTAAATGTACGGTGTTTCCCGAGCGTTATGACATGTCCTTCTTCAAACAAGGCTTGTGGAGAGTATTAAGCGGTAGGCAGCGGCTCGGCTCTGCCCCTGGCATTGCTGAGGTCCATGGGTGACGGTAACCACTCACCTTCAGGTGGGCCGTGTGCTCGGCTGCCTATAAGGTCGATAAAAAAAAATAGCCTGGATTTTATTCCGCTTGTTATAGTTTCGGGACGAAAGTAGTCTATATTATTTTGGCGGCTGCTAAGGTTAAAATGAGAAGCGTCAGTGAACGTGGAACAGGCGGTACATTTGTTTGTCACAAGTCTCTAAGTTGTTGACAGTGACTAGCTGCCCCATGAGCCGTGTCAGGCGCAAAGTTACTGTCAACTCGTATTAAAGGGTTAATGTGTGGCGTAGTGGTAGCGCGTTCCGATGATAATTTTACTTACGGTTGGAGACGAGGTCTAGATCATTGTAAAGATCTACTTTACTCACGTACCTCCTCACGTACAAAGTCCCGGCGGCTGACCCAATGGCGGATCCAGGGGGGGGGGTCATGAGGGTCATGACCCCCCCCCCTGAGCTAGTTCCAGGACTTGAACTAACTTGGACTAAATGAAGAACATCATGATTTATTTATTATCTATTGTTATCAAAATTAGATTATAAGTTCTTAACTTGCCCACGACTATGTGACCCCCTCCTGGCGCCAAAGCTGGATCCGCCCTTGCCGGCTGACCTCATAGAGCGTTACTCTAAGATTTGGATGAAGATTTATGATTTATTATGTTAGGCATATTCAATTGTCACCTTAGGTCTAATCCACTTGTAGGTAAAGGCACAGAGCCTACCAGTATTGCAGTTGAACTCGGCACGATTGCATACATCGGTCAAAACATATTGATCGATAAGCACATTGTTACTTTTCTACGTATAAGAAAGACAAATAAGTAATCTTTTACGAGTAAACTATTCTGTAATTATATCTAGACTTGTCCCGTGCTATCTGCGTTAATCATAGGAATATTTTCAAAACTGGAGGCCTTAACATTGGTTATAAAGTAAACATTCGCGATAGAGATATTATAAAAAACTCCGAATTTGAATTAAACTATACTTCGTGATGGACCCCTAGTTTGACTTGACGTAACTATGCTAGTGAGCTTTATGCTCTTTCTTCGATTGCAATAGGTAAATGTAAGTATATAATTAAAAATCTTTTACGGTTTAAGAGTTGTTAAGTTGTGTTTTTTTTTAAATGTCTTTATTTTACTTCCGACTTTTAGTATATTGCTTACCAGATTTTTTGGTCACTTTCATGGGATGGTTTTCGATGGGTTAAACGACTAAGGTGTTATTCGTCGAAGTTGAATATTAAGTTAACTTCAAAATTAAACTATACCTAAACGTTGTTTTTATATTATCTAGGATTTACGAAAGCCGAAGAAAATATTATAATGTAATTATTATAGTTGTAGTATATTGATGTTATCAACATAAGCATCACGTTTAGTTCATTCATTTTACACGCCAACGGACTTGAATGATTTGATCGTTAACACACAAACGCCTGCAAAATGCATCAACAAGTCGCTCTTAAAATATCTAGTACCCGGTAGCCATTATAATATATTTTTTGACAAAGCTAACACGGATTTACGCCTCCCATGATTATCAGATAGGTAATTGTTTTGGTTGAGGGCTTCTATTTCAATAATTTATATAATATAACATAACAATTGATTATAGAAAACGCCTTACATTCGATAAATTAAAAGCCTCACTTAAATCAGGTTTTCGTCGCGGTTCATATAAATATCAGTATTGTAAATAGAAAAATGTATTTTTTTGCAGATTTTTGTTCTGTAAATGATAAATCGGAGCTCATAGACATCCCAAGGTGATTGCGCCACTCAATTTTAGTGATCAAATCGTGACAAATGTTCACGATTGACTTCCATGGTGAAGGAATAACATCTTGTAATAAAAATCAAACCCGCAAAATTATAATTTGCTTAATTACTGGTGGTAGGGCCCCTTGTGAGTCCGCACGGATGGGTGCCACCGCTCCGCCTATTTCTACCGTGAAGTTGTAATGCGTTTCGGTTTAAAGGGTGGGGCAGCCATTGTAACTATAGTGAGACCTTAGCCCTTATATCTCAAGGTGTGTGGCGCATTTACGTTGTAGATGTCTATGGGCTCCAGTAACCACTTAACACCAGGTGGGCTGTGAGCTCGTCCAAACATCTAAGCAATAAAAAAAAATCAGGCCGTAGTATTTTAGTTGAAATTACCTTACTATAAAGCCTGTATTGTGGTAAGATCAAGAACTAGGGCTGTTACCTCTGAGCTGAGAAAAAGAAAAAGTTATACCACAATTTTTATTATTATCAAGCGTTATTATTAATGGCTCCGCTTTTGTTTTCACAGAACATTTATTTTTACTAGTGTTTGGTCAGTTGTCGAAATTCGATCATAAGCAATATTTAGATTCATGCTCTTTAATACGCTTTTATTATTCTTAATCGTTTCATTCTTGATAATGATAATATTTGGTCGTAATTTGCTATATAACTAACACTAAGAGGGGAGCATATTTATATTATGTAGGTACATTAAAATATTCTTCACGGTTTCGTAATTGACTTTGTAAAGATTTATAGAATTGGGAAGGCTGTTTTCAATTTTTTTATTGATAACACTAATGCCTAGGTAATACTCGCCAATAGTTACTAAACTGCTATTAAAAAATAAGTTGACACAAAGGAGAAAATGGTTGGTAAACCGCTTTGACATTTCCTATTTAAGTATGTAGAACGGCAGTCTGGTGTAGTGGTAAGTGACATGGTCACTACACAAGGGGGTCGCCGGTTCGAATCCCGCCAAGGGAAGATATTTGTATGATAAATATAAATGTCTTTTCCAGGGTTATGGATGTATATTAAATATATGTACGCGTATAATAAAAATCTTACATTTATTTCCGTTATCTGGTACCTGTAACACAAGTTCTTTACGAACTTGGCACGGGACCAGTTAACGTGGCATGATTGTTATTAAATATTTATTTATTTATTATTTAACTAATTAAAACTATTTTGATGGTAAGGACGACTAAACCATGGAAACTCTAAAGTATTCGATACTAGGAAAATAATTTATCTTTAATAACTAATATTAAACTGTAAAACAAGTTTTAATAAATAACTACGACTAGCTAAGTTCAAAGAAAATTGTAGAAAATAAATGAGTATTATAGTTCAACTCGTTATAATACAGACATCTTTCGAATCATTCATGAACTATTTACAAAACGCTGATTCATAGTTCAAAGATACTGGTTGTGGATTTACACTCAATCGTGGTGGTGGTGTTTTAATTCAGGCACTATTCACTAGGTGGCGCTATGCTCATCGCCATTACTGTGAAGCAAACTTATTGTATATTTATATAACTCTTGAAATAATTACACTTCATATGACTTCAATTTTAATGTTTGAACATATTTATGTGATTACGAAGTTTTCGGCAAGATCTCAATAGTGTTTCATTAACCATGTAGAAATCTCTGCGTTATGTCTCTGTTTAACTGCATGTAATTTGTTTATTCATCTCTGTCTTACGCGTCGACTGGTTTTGTTGAGAAGTAGGGCGCTTGACGCTAGCTCGATGGAGTCGAGATCTCGGAGAGTAGTAACACGAACCTCGCGAGAAACATGCTCATGTGACAGCTTGCCGCCAAATTTTTAATTTCGAACTTTAATTTTTCAAACTTTGTGTTCTTATACTGTGTTAGTTTTGTGTTATTTTTTGACTAGTGTTTATATTGATTTGTGAAGACTTAAATAAAAAAAAACATGGCAAGAGGAAAGAATCAAAAGTAGGTTTTATACATACGTTTTTATTTTTATTTTATTTAGCTTAAGCAGCTTAAATATTTTGTTCACTTTAGTATTCTTTTGTTTTGCTTGTTCGTCATTTCCTTTCCCAAATAAATTATCATTTAAAAATATGTTATAAATTCTGAACCAGTTTTTGTTTCATTGCGATTTCAAAAGCTTTCTACGCGGCAGCTTTTGTGCTACCCGCAAGGGATTTAGTTCAATATTGAATTGCTTAGTAGAATGATAATATTAAAAACAAAGATGCTTATGTTATAACTTTCGGTTTATGAGTGAATACATAGTACTTTTGTTACATAAGTTTAAAAAAATTTCGTGTTCTAATCTAGATTCACCGTAACTAATTAGTAATGTGTTAGTATGAATAATTAGCAAATGGAAATATCTTTTATGATATTCAAACACACTTTTCAAAAATGTGTCACACTGCTATGTCTCTATACTTTAAGGCAATTACAAAATTATAGAGATATAGTGGACATAACAACTTTCACATCTTGAAGATTTTCGGGAACTTTGAATTATTATATTATGAATTACATTACATTGATCATACTGATATTAACATAAGACAATTTAAGTAAAAAAAAAACTTTAATTTTAATCTACAATAAAATTGCAACGTATGTTAACGTAGGAACCTTTTAAGTGCGAAGTGAATTAAAAAACGTATAAGTATTATTTTTACAAACTTATATCAAAATGAATTTTAATTACCATTTATATTTTTAGCTATTTTTTATCATTAATGTGGCATTCTTAAACCAATAGTGGACGAATTTATTTCGTTTTCAATTTGTTCAATCATGTTTCAACTACATAAATGAAATTCATACTATAAAACGTGAAAAACTAGATTGTTCAGCATTCTTCCTGAGGCGTTTATCTCGGTATCAAATCATAGGCAACTGTATCTGACCTCCGCGAGTTATCTGATTAAATTCAATGATTCGTCGAGTGGGTCGCAGGCACAGGGAGCCCCGCGCTCAGGAAATGAAATGAAATTGATGCTGTTTATTATATGAGACGCACGAGCATA